TTAAGGAAAAAGCTTCCTTTTTTGAGACAGGGTCTCACTCTGTCACCCAGGCTGGAGTGCAGTGGTGTGAAGCTGCAGCCTCAGCCTCCTGGGCTCGAGTGATCCTCCCACCTCAGCGTCCTAGGTAGCCGGGACTACAGGCTTGCTCCACTACACCTGGCTCATTTTTGTATTTTTTATAGAGACAGGGTTTTGCCATGTTACCCAGGCTGGTCTCAAACTCCTAAGCTCAAGCAATCCGCCTGCCTCAGCCTCCAAAGTGCTGGGATTACAGGTGGGAGCCATCACACCTGGCCTGAAAAGCTCATCTAAACTGTGGTTGTGTGTGTGTGTGTGTGTGTGTGTGTGTGTGTGTGTAGGCATTTCCCCCAGAGACAATTGTGCGTATACAGCAGGGCCTCATTATTCTCTAAGAGTAGGGGTAGAGGGTATTGGTGCCAGAACAGGCCAAACTGCTCGTATTTGGTTAAATTCAAGGTGGTAAATTCTTGTTGAATTGAAGTAATACAGCTCATCACAGGGTCTGAACACCCGGTAGCTGGAGGTGTGTGCAGTCCTTTCTTTGGTCCACGACAACACCATATTCTATTCTGTTCTATGTGAAAGGGGTCCAGCATGGATGGAGTTCCTCCTGCATGTCAGACGTCATGGAGAACGCAGATGGGGTGCCTGAATAAAAGGCATTATAATCCAGTGAGATGATAAATAAATACACACGTGCTTATAAGAAAGGTGTTCCATGGTGGACTCCACAGCTGAGATTCAATCAGAGGGCTTTGCGGTTAAAAGGGGGATGTGGTAGTATCTAGTTGGGGGATCATGAAAACTTTATTTATTCAACAAATATGTATTGAGAGGCAATCTTCTGTTCCAGGGCTCTGCTAGTGCTAGCGCTTCATGGAGGAGCCTGGAGGAGAAGATTAGCACCTGTTCTCCCCGGCGCATCCCTCCCAAATAGCAACGCAGAGCTCCAAACTTTTGTTTCTCTTCTCTAGTGTTTATGAGGGGGACCTTCTAGTCCTATCATTTTTTTTCTCTAACACAAAACGTGGAGGAGCTGGAGACCGATTGTGGATTGTGTGTTAATTCCCCTCAGTACTGCATTCTCCTGGATTGCAAAACTAATTTCCTCATTGACATTCACAGCTGGTGTTTGCTCCTACTTTCATAGTCTCCTGATGAAATGCTGACTGCAAAGGTGAGAGCTGCTGACACTGTTTGCTGTGTGGTTTCTTCCAGGATTTTTTTCCCAGGAAGCCATCCCGTCAGAGGGGTTCAAGTGATGAAAGTTGGCAAACTGCAGCTACATCAAGGCATGTTTCCCCAAGCAATGAAGAATCTCAGACTGGTGAGTGTGCCAAAATCTCACGTAGTTCTGCCTGGCATCCTTTTTTTCTGCAGTTGCTGAACCCTTTTGTTATTGGTTAGCAACTCTACATATGTGGGCATGCATACACACGCATGCCCAATGTGTGCTGGTAAATGTTTAACAACCACTCTGGAAAAAAAACCTGCTTTGTGACATTTGCCTATTTCTGTGATGCAGGCATGCCAACCACAGCTGATTTTAAATGTAAAATCAACCTTCTTGTAAAAATAATCTTAACAATTACTCTTGCACCCTGGTGCAAACCAGCCTCAGAACACCACTGCTCCTGTGCCCTCTCCACAAGGTCAACTCGTTTGTGCCTCCTCCCCATTGCCCACAGAACAGTCTGTATCCCTTGCACGGCAAGCCCTTGACCCTCTTTGTGGCAGTTCAGCTTTGCAGCCTCTTCTCCCCGCCCTTCCTCTCTCCCTTTCCACCCACCCAGTGCTCACTGCTGCTCACCAGGACCCACCGTGACCCTGAACTTCTCACTCCTCTGTCCTCACACAGCTATTTCCTCTGCCTTAAACGCCTTCCCCATCACAACCCCCTGGGCTTGACAGAACTCTGTAATCCCTTAAGGCCTAACTCCAGTGTTACTTTGCCATCCTACCCCTGCAGCTCTCTGCCCACCTTGCCAGGAGAGCCCTTTTCACATCGCAGTAGGCATACCTGATGGCCACCCCTACCCCTGCCCCCAGGAGAACGTGAGGGCTTCGTGGTTATCTCGGTAACCAGCTCAGTGCCATGAAGGGATCTGGAACTTAGGAAGTATTCGTTATTGGGGGAAGGAGGAAGGAGGAAGGAGGAGGGGAAGGAGTCAGTGAATATGGTTCTAGCAGTAAGTGTCAAGAAACTAAATGGGAGAACTGGTTTAGGGTTGGAATACCTTGTTAAAACACGATGGTTAGTTTCACCCGCTTAAGGAGTCTCCTCTGCCCAGAGGAGCCCAGGGCTCTCTGCTGTCTGGCTTTCCCACCTCAGCAGAACTCCCTCTCCTCCAGTCCATGACCCTTCCAAAGGAGAGCTCACATGCCCACCTAGCCAGGCACCGGTGGGTCATATGGAGACCTGGTGTGTGGGTATCATAGGAAGCACTTGACACTTTAACAGGACCCTCTGGGCCGCCATGCCCTTGTGTGCGGAAGAGTGGCGGTGGAAGGATCGGGCATCAGGGTTGCTCAGGGCATGTCCAGGGGCCGGCTGATCCCATAACATTGGCAGCCGCCCACATGGACCTGAGAGAAATGACAAATGCCTGAGGGATTCTTAAAAATAAGATTCCCCCGTGCTCATTTTTGCCGAATGCTAGCCAGAGTGCCTTTATTTGATCTTTAAATAAAGTCAGCATGTGGCCAACAGGAGTAACACTCGGATTTCCTGAAGGCACTCAGCTCTTCCTGTTCTTTTTCTCATGTCTGGCATGTTTACCCAGGCTAGGGGAAGAACACCACACTGTCTGTTGCAGCCTCACGAAGAACTTTCCTTTTCTGGTCTGGGGGGTACTTAGCCAGTCGAATCAGCGAGGTACAGAAGATCCTTATTAAGGGCTTACTGTGTGAAAGTCTTGACAGAAAAATGACGTACAGGAAATTTCCTAATGTACAATATACCCAACACAGGGCCACCTGCAAGCAAATGTTCATAAGTGATCAAACTAGACCTTTGTGTTTATATGGGACTAGAAACTATGAATACTGCTCGTACATACATGATACGTGATCATACTTAGTCCTCATGACAGATGACAGCTGTATGAGGTCAGCGGGACAAACAGGAATTCCTTCCTATTTGAAAAATGAAGGTGCTCAGGTTTGGAGACATGCAAGAGCTCCCCGAAAGTCACAGGAGGCAAAGCCAGGTGTATTTGTTCAATTTAATTCAACACGGTGATCAAATACTTCTGCTACTTTGGATAAGACCCAGGCTGGGTGCAGTGGCTCACATCTATAATCCCAGCACTTTGGGAGGCCGAGGCAGGCAGATCACCTGAGGTCAGGAGTTCAAGACCAGTCTGGCCAACATGATGAAACCCCATCTCTACAAAAATACAAAAACTAGCCAAGCATGATAACGGGTGCCTGAAATCCCAGCTGCTCAGGAGGCTGAGATGGGAGAATCGCTTGAACCCAGGAGGCAGAGGTTACAGTGAGCCGAGATTACACCATTGCCCTCCAGCCTGGGCGACAGTGTGAGACTCTGTCTCAAAAAAAAAGAAAACAAAAAAACAAAAAAACAAAAAAAATCAGTATGGAGTGTACAATTTAATGGAGGAAATAAACATGTACAAGTCATTAAATCCAGGCCAGAAACCAAGGCTCTGTTCTTTCCCTCTAGACTGGTCCAATTAAATAGATGAGGCTGTCTAGTAAGATCAGTGTGTAGAAATCCCTTAAGCTCTAGCCGAACTCCTGTTGCCAACTTGGGGAAAATAAGGGAGAAGATTTAGATTGCTGCTTTTCTTTCCGTGAAGCTTTGTTCATTGCCATTGCACACAGAACTCTTGAAGGAGACATCTAAAATCCCCAGGTATGAGGACAAGCCTGAACAAACCCAGACAGACATCTCGCTATGGGTTTTCAGGATAATGTGGCCTGGGCTGATGGTACTGACCATCACCAGCCCTTCTGATGACCCTCTTACTGCCCTTTCCATCCCTCATGCCCAGGTCTGTTCTGCTGCCCTCGTACTCTTCTGATGAGGTTGCATTGCCTCTTTCAGAAGCTTCTCTTGGTAATCATGTTAGCTTTTCCTGCTCTTGGTACCAAGGTGAAGCTCAGGCATGCACCCCGATAGATGCCAGTTGAAAGGTATTCTGGGAGCAGCGTCAGATTATCTGTCATGAGGCCTGGGGTTAAATGGTGGCCTTACCCAAACTTGCTATGTGTCTCTACAAGTCATTGTGTCTCTTGCCGAGGTCTGATGGTCAGCCAGGGAGCAAACGTGCACTCCTGGCAGAGTCGTAGAAAGAGTGCAAGGATTTAGAGTCAGTACGTCCAGGTTCCAGTCCTACCATTTGCATTCATCTCTGAATATAATTTCATTTGTAAAAGGAGGCTGATAGCTATCCCACAGAGTTGTTTTGAGGAGTAAGCGAGGCAATGCGCAAGAGTGTGCTGGCCAATCTCTAGCATTTTGAAGTGATTACAGATGGGTATTGTTACAGGAACGCTTGTTCTGATCACTCTCCCACTAGCTGGCCTGTTCAGTACTTGTGTTTGTAGTTTGGGGTACACGGTGGTTCCTCTGGTGAACAGTTATGTTCTATGCCTGCTCCCCAAGGTGAGTGGGAATTCCTCAAGGGACCTTACATTCCTTTTGTGTCTTCTGGTGCCACCTAACATAGACACACAGGCCCCCAATACAGCGAGCTCTGTTAAAGACATGCTTGAATGAATGGATTTTGGTAATGGATAGAAGACTTTAAAAGCCTCCCCCGACCCTGCTGTTCAGCTGTTTATGGTTAATGGACCAGATCTTCTCATGACCTTTGCTGAGCATTTGCTAGCGGAGGGATGGCCTGAATGTATCCATCCCTAGGAAAACTCACGTGACCTGGGAGTCTAGAAGCAGGTCAGTGTCTTCCTGCAGAAAGTCTTTCTTTCCTGAGCTTTCTCAGGACTCGGTTAACCTGGAGAGGGAAAAGGGAGGCTATACTCTTTGCCTTGTGAAACTGATGTCATCTTCAGACAGGCACCCCTGGGATGCTCTTTCTTGTCTTAGAAACCCTGGAAATAATGGAATGAAATCATTTGAATAAGGTTTTTGAAGACTGAGTTTGAACAGAAATCAGAGGAGCTTCAGACACAGAGATTTATTACAGATTCAGTTAGGCTCCAGCCTCCTCCAGGAAAGGAATCCACTTAGCCCAGCTCTGATTTGGTTTCATCTTCCGTTTCCACTGGGCTCAGCTGAAATTCTTCTGATTGCTGCCACGGGACAGTCCTGGGGTCCCTTTCCAGTGCTTCCCTCCTGCCCTCTCCTGTCTCTAATCTACTTTTATTTCTTTCCATTTATTTCTTAGAAGGCTTTTGTTTACTACTAATTTGACTTCTTGGACCTCAAGGACAGCCCATGTGGGCTGTCTTGTTAATCAGAGCTGGTTTTTTCCTGTGAACGCTGCATGCTGCAGGCTCCCGCACCCCGGCCCTAGTGGAGTTGCTTTTTAGCAAAAGTCTGGTTCCAAAACTTAGACTTCTTTCCCCTCGGTATCCATTTTTTTTTAAATCTGTATTTAAACTTTTGTATCATAATTTTTCCCTTCTCTTTTAATTTTATTGAAGTATTTTATATCTTGAGCATTTTTTTAGCTTTTTTTGCATCTAAATAGAGAGCACAAGGCCGCAAGTCCTAGAGATTGCTTCTTTTATTCTTGCATCAGCCACCCTGATTTCCAGCCCCAGCAATGGCTGATTTAGAGCATGCAGTTCTGTTGGTCCCATGCCTTAATCTGCTACAGTGATTCTTAACCTCTTTGGTCATATCCCTATTTAGGAATCTGATGAGGGCCACTGACTAACCAGAGAAAGGTTAAATATACACAACCTTTTGTATATTTGGTGTGGATGGCGGCTTCAGAGGCTCCCTGAAGCCCTTCCATGGACTAAGTGTCCATGGTGTCTAGGTTAAAAAGCCCTCCTCTAAACAGTTAACATCATACTTTACCGTGTGGGGAGGTGGGAGGGAAAGAGGTAGAATAAGAAGGCACACAGAGACGATGTTCCATAGTTGTCACTAATACGTTCAAAGAGTTGTTTGGAAGCCCCTAGCTCTGATATTTATGAATGGTTCCTACTGACCTCCAAATAGAGAATAATAGTTCCAAGAGTGTGTTTTTGAACCAAAAAAGAGAAAAGAAAATAACGGATAAAATGCAAACACAGTGATTAAGCCGTATTATGGGCAATAAGCAGAAATTTACCTACCAGGAAGTGTAAGTTCAGTAGTAACAAGGAGTTAGATGGGGAACGTGAACTTGT